CAGGAGAATTTGTGCTTTAAAATTGGTACTTATTTTATTCGACCTTCAAAACGACATTTTTATTACCCATACGGTTATAAATTTTGAAATGTGTATGATTTTGTTTATCTTGTTTATCGTTAAATTCGTTTTCACTACAAAGAACGGTGCGTTTGTATGTGTATGAACATCGAGCTTATCGTTATCGGTCCGCGTGTCCCGTCTATAAAAATATATTATATTATTTGTTATCTATTTATCAATAATCTTCTTTTAAAAGTGACGATAGTGCGTATTACAATGCATAATACAATGCAGGTAATCGTATTGTCATTTCTTAGCCGTCAATGCTATTGACACGTCGCACACTAACACACCGTAAGTTAATACAACTATATAAACATTTTATAATTTACTCGTTAGTCGTTAATAATTTAGTTGTACGTTAACATTAACTCTAACTATCATACCCAATTCTTAGAACTCAACATTTTTTTGGGTATTCTTAGTTAAAAATGGCTTCAAAAACCTTCAGGTGCCTGGTTTGAAAAGCAAAGAAACTGAAAGAATCTAATAATAAAAGTTTATCCGCATCGTTAGGCAAATGCTTCAGAAATCTAGTCAAAGAAAATCTAGTAGTTCCTTTAGAAACGTATACTAACATTGAAATAAAAATAACATAAAGCACAACTTCCGCCCCTTCATAATTTGCGCCCCTGGCGTAGGCACAGTTCGCCATACTCTTGCTACGCCACTGTGTCTAGGTACTATTTAACTACCTATTACATAAAAATTTTTACATAAATTTAATTTAAATTTATAGATTTCTTGCACCATCAGACCAAAAGCTTACAGAATTTTATAAAGCGATAGTTAAGATGATTGCAGAAGATCTACAGCCAGTCTCTATTGTTGAAAACTCTGGTTTTAGACATTTAGTCAAACTTTTGGATTCTAGGTAGTTAATTGTTTTGTATATTTCCTTTCGATAGTTTGTTAATTTCAGTATAATTTAATAAAAGTATTTATTTTAGATACCAAATACCCAGTAGGAGAGCTATTAGTAGAACTATTATACCAAATATGTATGATGAGGTAAAAAATAAAATTCAAGTTGTACTGAATGATGCCAAATACATATCAGTAACCACCGACATTTGGACATCAATTAATACTGATTCATTTATAACAATAACAGTACATTTTTTTCCTAAACTTGATATAAACCTAAAAACCTTTGTCCTTTGTACAAAAAAATTAACTAAGAGCCATACTGCAGTCTATCTATCTCAAATTCTAACTACAGAATTAAATAAATTTGATATTTTACATAAAGTTGTGGCTATAGTAACAGATGGCGGAAGAAATATAAATGTTGCTGTTAGGCTTATGAACATCCAACATATTCCATGTACAGCACATAAATTACATTTAGTAGTAAGAAATGCTTTAAGTTTAACAGATGATGATTTGAATGTAGATACAAATAATGTAAATAATGATGGTGGCAGTTCTGATAGTCAATTAAAAGAAATTTAAAAAAAATGCAGGAATATAGTTGGATTTTTTAAACGCAGTGAAGTAGGCAATAGAAAACTAGTCGAAAAGCAACAACAAATGGGTCTTCAAACTATTTTAAAACTAAAACAAGATGTATGTACGAGGTAGAATAGTACCCTAGTGATGATGGAAAGGTTATTACAATTAAAAGAACCTATTACAGTTGTTATAATGGCACTAAAAGAAGCACCACCAAATTTATCATCTGATGAATGGGATGTAATAGAGGATTGCATTCCAATATTAAAACCATTTCACAGCATTACTTTGGAACTATCAGCCGAAGAATATCCTACAATTTTCAAAGTTATACCACTTATACGAGGTAATATTTCTAACGAATTAAATAATTTTGGTAAATTTTTTATTGAAGTATATTTATTTTATAGGATTACAGATTGCACTAAGTAATAAAGATCCCAAAACAGTTATTGGGATATTACTAAAATCCAATCTCCACGGAAATATAAGAACACGTTTTCAAGGAATTGAAAAACAATCATTGGTTCCTCATTTTGATCAAGCAACATTACTCGATCCTAGATGTAAAAAAGTTGCATTTGGAAATGAACAAAATGCTTCTGATGCTGAGTCTGCAATAATAACAGAAGTAGCCAGTCTATTAAACATTCCAATTCCTGGTAATAAATTCAATTTAATAAAATAAAAAATAATTCAATTTTTTACCTGTAAAATATGTTTAATTTAGAACCTGGAGTTGTTCATCAGGTACAAATAAAAACAGAAGACCTTTGGGGATTTTTGACGGCAAAGGTGAATGATATGCAAAGCCAAACAACAACTACAAGTAATGCAATGATTTTAGTTAAACAATATTTAGATATGCCGTATCAAGATCTTTCTTGCAAACTTGGAGAATATTGGGAAAAACACAAGACACTGCTGAATCCGTTGAATGAAGTGGCATTAAAATACGCAACAATACCTGCTACATAAGTACTTTCGGAACGTATATTTTCCAAGATAGGTCAAATCATGTCAGCCAGACGCAACAGATTATTGCCAAAAAATCTTGATAAACTTGTTTTTCTTAATAAAAATATGTAAAAACACTAAAAACATACCTTTATACATTTTTAACAACATTTAATAAAAGAAAAGTTTAAGTTTGGTGCTTTTAAAATAAATAATAATATATCTACTAATTATAAAAGTTATAAGAAGTTGCATAGTTTATAATAAAAAAACATTATTCGGTAGTACAGATTATTCTAAAAATTATTCGATAGTACAGATTATTCGATTTTTTTTTTTTTTTTTTTTTAGGCTTTTTTACGAGCCATTTAGACTCTTGGCCGCCAAAACTAATTCCTTCCATTGTTCTCTATTGTATGCCTGTTCCCAGTCTCCTCCAATTTCTTCTAATACTTCCTTGACGCTATCCTTCCATCTCTTCCGTGGCCTTCCCCTTGGTCTCTTTCCTCTTATCATATATGTCAGTGCTCCTTTCAATACACTTCCATCAGCTCGCCACACATGGCCTGCCCATTCTATCCTTGTCCCTTTGATAAATTGGACCACATCTTCTCTTTTGTAAAGCTGGTATAGTTGGGTGTTGGTTCTTATTTCCCATTTTTGTTCCGCATTGTTGAATACGGGTCCGTAAATTTTTCTAAGAATTTTTCTCTCAAATAGACGTAGCTTTTCATCATCGCCCTTTGTCGTTGCCCATGTGGCACATGCATATGTCAATACAGGGCGAATGTAACTAATATATAGATGTTCTTTTGTTTTTCTTGACAACAACTTAGATTTAAAGAGTGTCGATAGTGCATAAAGGCATCGATTAGCAGCGTCCAATCTGATATTTATCTCTCCGTGCATGTTGTTTTGGTTATTTAGAGTAGACCCCAGGTACTTAAACTCTTGTACTTGTTTGAAGATGTTATTTCCCACTTGGAGGTTATTATGATCACCCCCTCCTCGTTTTAACATCATGTATTTAGTTTTTCCACTGTTAATTGTTAAGCCAATATATTTTCCTATCTTCATCAGTTCTTCAACAGTATTCTGGATACTCTCTTGCGAATTCCCAATAACCACTATATCGTCTGCATATGCTAGTAGGATATTTCCTTCATCAGGGTTTAATGTCTCAGTTCGTGGTATCTTTCTTATTACGCTCTCCAATGCCATATTGAAGAGTGCTGGTGACATCGCATCCCCTTGCTTCAGTCCACTATTTATTGTAAACGGAGACGATATTTCGTTGTTCACCTTGACTCGGCTGCTGATGTTTGTGTTACATAGTTTTATCATGTTGATTAATTTAGTTGGTAAGCCAAAGTTTTTAAGGATTTTCCATAATATTTCTCTATCTATGCTATCATAGGCTTGTTTGTAGTCTATAAAAACCATATGTAGATCTTTCGCGTATTCGTAGCTTCTTTCCATAACTTGTCTTAAGACAAATATGTGGTCAGTAGTTGATTTATTTTTTCTGAATCCACTTTGGTAATCACCTACTATCTCATCTGTGTATACTTGCAATCTTTTGAGTATAATTAATGATAGTATTTTATATCCAGAATTCAGTAGTGTTATGCCTCTATAATTCTCGACTCTATTTCGGTTACCTTTTTTGAAAATTGGACATATCAATGACTCATTCCATTCTTTTGGTA